GCCCGGGCGGGGCGCGGAGAGGACCGGCTGGAATTGGGGGGAATCCCTCAGCCCCCTCCGGCGCCTCGGCCCCGGGCAGCTCCCGTCGGTTCCGGGGCGGATGACCCCTCCCCAAACGGCGCGCCACTGCGGCTCTCGTGAGCCGGGACGGGGGAGGGGTCGCAGGGCTCGGTCCGGAAGCCGTTACTGGTGGGCAAGTGGGAGGCTGCGGGCAGAGACCCGCGTGGGAGTGGGGACGCCGGAACTGCCTCGGCAGGGGCAAAGGGCGCGCGGACCCGGGGACTGCAACCGCCGCCTCCCAGCGATCGTCCCCGCGCTCCGAACCCTCCTCCTCAAGGGCTCTCTCATTGACCCCCTAGAGCCTTACTCCAGAAGTCTCTGGAACCTGTGTCTTCCCGGTCTGGCCCGCCCCTGAATCCTCCCTGTGCCCTCCTCACCACCTCTCGCCTGCAGTAAGTATCCTTGTTATTTGTAAATATCTTAGTCTGAGGGTCATTTCCTGGAATGGTTCCAGATAGGGAAGGCTGGTGCCACGTTGTGTGGCCTGTGGTCACTTGCATACTTGCGCAGAAAGGAAGCAAATCACACATCCCCCCTTTGCCTGGGAAAAGTGTTTGCAACCTCGGGTATCGGTTTTGCTGGTCCCAAAGTCAATCTCTCCACGACTCTACCCTGCCAAACCGCCCTGGGAATCATCTGCAGGTCAGGGCCACAGTCCTTGGCAGTTTTGTTTTTTTTTCCACACTAAACTTCCTCACCTATGGAGAACTGAACGGAAAGCCGTGTACGTGTAGTACAGTAGTTTCCAAATTTGTGTAGTGTGAAATCAGAGAGCATCGGATGCATATACTGCAATATGTCCGTCCCGATCCATGTGATTCTCACTGATGTAACGCTCTGACACAGCCCACTGGCTGAGTCTCAGGGCAGTCATTTTGGCTGCATTTCATAGCCGAAGACCCAGGATCAGCTAGACAGAGTTACTTGTTCAAGGTCACTGGATTATTAACAGACAACTTTTAAGGTCCAGATTTCCTGGCTCAAACACCAGTAATTTTTTTCTGATTCTTTCTTCTGCCTCCTACGATTGTATCAATAATATATGGCGTGTTTGGTGGCACTGAATCCCATTAATAATTAGATATTCTCAAATGGTTGAGATAAACTAACAGCTTAATTTTCCCATTATACGTTTTGGAAGTAAGTATATTTTAAAAAGAAGAAGAACGAGCTCTTTGGACAGAAATTGGAAAGTGGAAGGTACTGAAAAAGAACTCAAGAATGCTTTGTCACAAATAGTCCCCGGTGAAATAGTTCCCAGGAGTGTCCTTTACCACTTAGCCCCCTCAGAATAGCTTTTTTTGGGCAGCAGAGTGGCAGGCAGCAAGCACATTTTAAAAATAATAATCCCTGAATTCCCTGGGAACTTACCACATTTAAGAAATGTGGTCGTAGATAAGATTTCATTTTCAGTCTTCACCTGCCAAAATAACATTGCACAAGTTTGTATATTGCCACAGTCCTAAGATAATCATAAGCCTTCATCTTAAGTTCTTGAGTTAAAGGGTAGATAAACTTGTACCAAGTCTTCTAAATAATTCAATTTAGGACTAGAAAATTTCTACCAAATGTGATAAAATATATTATAGCTTAAGCTATGGGTTCTGTATAAACAATTAAAATAATTCAGACAGCAAAGTGTCATGGATAAAGGAGGAAAAGGCCACAGGGCTAGAAATGTCCTTTCAGTTCATTGTTTCTGAAAAATACTCTCCAGTGAGAGACATTTAAGTTTCCTTGATACAGTAGGTAACCCCATACAAACATTCAGTGACCTCCAAAGCTGACTCCTGCCTAAGAAAGGAAAACTCGTTCATGATCTTCATTTAACCCAATGAGTTTTCAAAAGATTAAGGAAAAACACTTTCTTTGTAACTTTGACTTCGTCCTCTGTGGTAAAAATACAGAGTAATGTGGATCACGCTCAGCTGCGGGCACCCAAGTGGAAGAGAGATGGAGACTCAGTCATCAGATAAAGGAGGGCAGAGGACCGGCCCCGCTGACAGCCGTCAGTAGCCTGTGTGCATCTGTCAACTAAAAAATGAATGAAGGGAGACACAGGTTTATCAGTGGCACAAACTGAAGGATACATCAAGCCTACCTCAACCTATAAATGAACAGAAGGATAAAATAATACAATAAATGCTTGAAAATTCTCCATTTTCATGCCTTTCCCTGCCCCCAACACACACACACAACACACAGTAAAATGGACCACTCACTAAAATGGATATTTCATTATAAAGATGCAGACCCTTTAGATACCAGGAATTCCTTTCATTGAATCCAAGGATGGAGAGAGATGGGAGGAACCCATGCAATAACGTTCCCAAAGGTTCTTCAGTGCTATTTCTATTGGATATTTTCCCTGGGCTTCCCTGATGACCACATCCTGGAGGAGTCTCCTAGAGTCACTTCAGGGATGTCAGATAGGAAACAAACAATTCAGGCTACACCAGGTGAGAGTGCTGGAGTCCTGAAGCTGGACCAGGTGTGACCTTGATATGCCCTCCAAACAATAGAAGTTAGTCTGGTAGGTCGCTTTATAGAAGCACTTCAATTCTTTTAAGTTTAGCTCTTAGAGATGTTCCAAAATTGTTCAGCTGGCACCTTTAGGATTCACTAACATGTCTCTGTGGCCCCTGAGTACAATTCACACAATTCTCAGTTGCCTTCAAAATATCTGAAAGAAAAAAATTAAGAACTCTAAGTAGGCCAGGTGCAGTGGCTCATGCCTGTAATCCTATCACTCTGGGAGGCCAGGGTGAGTGGATTGCCTGAGCTCAGGAGTTCGAGACCAGCCTGAGCCACACTGAGACACCCCCCACCCCATCTGAAAAAATAGCCAGGCATCGTGGCAAGTGCCTGTAGTCCCCCCTACTCGGGAGGCTGAGTTAGAAGAATCATTTGAGCCTAAGAGTTTGAGGTTGCTGTGAACTGTGATGTCACAGCACTTTGAGGATGACAAACTCCATCTCAAAAAAAAAAAAAAAAAACTATGTTTTATAACAGCAAGGTTATGCCATGGGGTGGGAGGAGATGATTGTGGATTGCAGCCTATGCAATTCAGTGCAGAGTGTGGCTCTGCTGTGCACCAGCTCTGAAGCAACGTCAGCACCATGCCACCACAATGCCATGTGCAGATAAGTCCATAATTTATCTCTCCTATTCTAACCTCCAGGTTCATGTATCAAATTGCACCCTTCACAACCATTGCAAACTAATTAGGTCCAGAAGCAAATAACACTGCCAAACCTCCCAATCTTCATGATGGCAATAAATCAGTTGTTCATTTACCCAGTTGTTCAAGCCAAAATCCTTGGTGTCATCCTTAACTTTTATTTTCACATAATACCTTCAGGATATGAAAAAAATTCTTCCAAATGCACTTTCAAAATATATGCCAAATTTCACTATTTTTTAGCTCCATCCTCACCATCCCAGTTCAAACCACCATCCTGGTGCACCGGAATTATCAAAAGAGCCTCCTAATTGCCCCATGCCTCTTACTCTTGAACTCATCCCCATGGAAGCCAGGACGAACGCATTCAAGTGCGAATCCAGTAATGTCATGGCTTCTCACCACACTTTGTGTGATATTAAAAATCTTAGCATGCCTTGCAAGTACTCAATCTAGCTCCTAGCTATCTCTCTGAAAAATGTCATCATACCCTCCCTACCACTCCACCCTCCCTGTAACTCCTTTCTGCTCCGTTGGCCTCCTGGCTGTGCTCCGTGTACACCCCGTCTTCTCTCTCCCAGTAAGCATGGCCTGGCCCCACATTTCACCCAGATTTTTGTACTTCATCATAAAGACCTTCCTTAGCCTTTCTCTACTCCCATTTTAACTCTTATCCAGCGTTACTCTGTTCCTTCTCACTTTTCTACTCAACATTATACAGGGACATACTGTGTGTATTTGTCTGCTTGTTTCCTCATCTGACATCTTCAGCTGGACTCTGGCTCCATCACAGACTGTTCTGTTCATTGCACTGAACCTGGTGCCTAGGACAGTGCCTGGCCAGAATTCATGCTCAGTGGGTATGTCTTAAACACACACTGAATAATCTCACCAATCAAGGAGGTAATTATTATTCGGCCTCTGTGTTTAAGGCACCATGCCTCTGGTTAAA